CGGTGGCTCTTCCTCTACATTCGACGGATAACGTGTACAGGTATTTAATGTAATTTTTTAGCAATTTGTTTTTGTAATTCATCCAAAGCGATATATTATGAAATTAAATTAATCACTCAATAGGTTTTAACGTTAGATTGTTTCCTCGATATGGCCATGGTGGTCATCGGTGACTGGAGTGCCTCAAATGTTTACAATAAATAAAATAAATGTTGTCAACTAAAAATTTTGAACGTCATAGCTAGCTAGACATTATTTTCAAGCATAATATAAATATAATATAAAGCATAGTACTATAATCCTATGTTTAAAATGTATTTTCTCGTGGCCGCCTGACAGCAACCTGTAAATCTGGCGCGACAGTGAACGTGTTAATAAGTAAATGTTGTTCAAATTATATCGTGTTTGATATCATTTTCATCAGAAAGATCTCGTCAACATGCTAAAAAAAATTCCAGATGAAAAAAAGTAAAATTAAAGAAATTATATTTTTCTATCATGATTTGTGGAGCCGTGAAATCTCGTAAAGGAAACCGACTGGTGTAGCGTTACGCGCTTGACTGGCTGCGAGCGAGATAACATGGGTGCAGCAATTACGCAGAGCTAGGCGTAGGACCATCTAACTGTCAGTTGTAGAATCCAAATTTACTGACTCTTGTAGAGAATTTACTGTAGTGAGATATTTTGAAGAGAGTAACTTAACAGCGAGATCGAACTGTAGGATAGTGTAAATTGAAAAAAATTGGAAACACAATGGAAAAAATTAACTTACTCCTGGCCGTGGCAAGGACATGTAAACTTGCTTTTCTGGTCGATTCTGGTTCAATTCCAACACGTCTTTCGCAACTGTAGTCACGTCAGTCATGAGCCACTGCCACATGTCAGCAAACACTGAAATGCGCCACAATAGAACCTGGTTAATTAGATTTTACAGACAGAAATGAATTCGCGAAAAGCTTATACAGTAAGAATCGTAACCGAACCAATAATCGTAGATTATGCAAATCGCTGTTCGTTGTTGTAAATAGTGAACGAACCCAGACGATAAATTTTTAATACGAACTTGATAACAGCAAAAGTTATAAAAAAAAAAAAATAAGAAGGGTCGTAGAAACTTAGACTGCGTATAGCCAGTGAGAGTGTTTACGAAAGTGGGCAATCCAGACGTCCAACGATTGCTGGTGACTCGAAGTCACGAGGCTAAATATCGGGTGTCGTGGGATTGATTGCTTGGAAGAAGGCATGAGAAAGTTTAGGGATGGCAAGCAGCCCGATGTTGCGTTGCTTTAAGAATGGGAACATTGTTCCTAGAGGATTTGGCCACGGAGTGGGGAAGACGAGGGTGCCTTCTGGTAAGAGGACTGTGAGAAACAGCACGGCACTTACCCCAGAACTTTAGAACAGAGTGAACGAGATAGTAACTTGACCGTCCGATTTATTTAAACATTGATTCGATATTTTTTAATAGGCAAAATTCGTACTAGGGTTAACAGTGATTTTTGTATGTATATATGTATAAATAAAGAAGAATTTCAAACGTTAAAAAATATCTTACAGAGATTGTGACTGTGAATAATGTATCAACTATGTTTATTTTTCCTGTTGTCATATTGTTTATGGCTATAAGCAGTGGTTAGTATACAATTTTCTGTTATTGGTTTAGTTATTGCATATTTGTTTTACAATTTATCTACAAATGTTAGCAAAATAGTTGGACATTCGAAAATTAACGAAGTAGAAAAATTTACCTTCTAGATTTTCCTTAGCGATTTTACTTGCAGGATGTCTCGCTAAAGTATACGCCGCTGTCACTACTTGAGGACCGTATATTCTCAAGTTAATTTCCGTAAACTTCGCCGAGACTTGCAATGATTCCGAAAGTGCAACGTGTCTCAACATTTTGCACACCTATTAACAGACATGATCGAAAATGTGAATCAATTTTTAACGATACCGTGCAAAGAGTATTATTATTCTAAACCAAATTTAACTTGCGATATGTCGATCTTTCAATAGAGTTCTAAAGAAAATCAATTCTTGACAACTACCGGAATTTCGTTAACAAAAAATTTCCAATTTTAATGAAATTTTGCGTAATACTAATTTTCAAGATTACAAAAATCCAGATTCAATTTTCCAAAAGGGTAGAAAAGAAGGAGACAAAAAAGAAACAAAAAAAGGAGAGTAATGTTTAAATAAGCAGCTTCTGACACTTCTAAACAATACAAATCTTCTCCAAAAATTGTGATTCTCCATAGATAAATTAAAAAAAAAAAAATAAATTTCATGTGTGAGAAATATTTTTGTCGCACTACAAAATGAATTTCACGTGAAAATCAGATATACTCACTTCAAGAATGTGTTCAATGTACTCGCGAAACTTTTCGTTGCTATCTTGAAGATGGTATCTGTCGTTGGCCAAAGCGACGTTCGTGATCGTTGACACAAGTTCCTGACCCGCTTTGGTTACCTGTCCGAGATCAGCCGCTTGTTCCATCGTTGTCGTGCACAGCTGTTGGCGAAGATCTCTGGTGGTGCGTAACACTCCCAGGACAGCTTGTTCCATTTCGGAACTAGGAGAACCTCCACCACCCTCGTAGTTCTGACATCAAATAATAACAATCGTTTCACCGTTTACCGATAAGCGAAATTTCGTAGAGAAATTATGTTTTCTTCTAGTATTTAACGTGTTAACGAAGAAGGAGGAATGTAATACTTAAAAAAAAAAAGAAGGAATATTGTTATCGCATTTTGAAAATAAAAAGTATAAATCTATTTTCACGAACGTGTGTCGCGCACATAAAGGGGAACACAAGTTTTTTCTTTTTTTAGAAGGAGAATTGTCCATCCACTCTCCCCTGTCTATTCAATGGCAGTAGGCTCACGTAACTGATTCACTTTAGCACGGTCATTCATTCAGATTTACGGTGGAATGTCAGTTCTTTCAAGCGGGGATCAAGCCAGCCTGGATTATCCTTTCAAGGGAAAGTGTTAATCCAGTATTATAAGAAACTTTTTGCTTTAAACTTCATTTCTCCCGTGGACAAATTGTTCCATCTGCGGGCAGATATTATCGACGTTTCTTTTCTATTCTTGTGCACCAAATGTAACATCGATTTCCTACCAAACTTTCGATTCCCTAACTTTTCACAGAAAACTCTTAATTCGTTTCATTTGTCACAGTGTAGTCAATTGGTTCACATGAAGTTTCACTGTTTATCAAATAATTCTAAATACGAATTCCAAGTGATTTTGACCCAAACACAAATCATTTTTTTATCATACTGGATAACAATTTGGATCTTTTCCCAGTTTATTTAGGACCATTTTGAAAAGTGAGTGCGTGAGCCTAAAGGACCATTCATTTGTTAAGACAAGAATAACTAATGAATAGCTAATGAAAATTGTACAATTTTTCTCACCATACTGTTACCAATTCGCAGTAACGTGTTGAGCTCGAGTTGTGCCCGATCGCAAAGCAAGAGGATGTTCTCTCTGTGCTCGTGGCTCGTGTACGCGCTGTCGGTGAAGTCCTGTGTCCTCTCAATGACAGTATCTAATGCGGCTGTGAGAGTCTCTCGACAACCTGGTCCTAGGAGAGTCATTCTTGTGGTTTCCACCAGTCTCTCGAAGTGTTTCAATGCTGAGAAAGCGGTGCTGCTATCCCAGTCCTCCTGCTGTGGACTCTGAAATTAATGACCGAATCAGAGGAAGCTTCCCTTGAGACGAGCTACTATTTCTGGAGTCACATAATCTTCCCTTCTCTAATGTTTCACTACATTTCGAACGAGAATAAAGTGTGAATTACAACGTTCGTACAAGTGGTGCGCTAAAAATTTATTCAAAATTTAAATAGTTCCTTAACTAATTTCTCTAGAATTTAGGAGAAACGTCACCCTGAGCTGTATCCTCGATACTCAAAGTTCAAAGCACCTCCATTCTTTTAATTATCGAGATTTTGAATTTATTCGAGGTTCCCACGATAGCCACATTCATACTAATCAAGATGCTATTTTATTTTTTAACGTTAGCAGATTAACGGAACGACCGTAATTTTTATTACTTTGGCTTTAAAAAAATAATTTGTATATTTCAAGCGTTGATAAATTTGTGTGCCAAAATTCATATAAAAAAGTCTTATGGTTGTTTTGGAAAGAAAAATCCCGAAAGAGGCGGAAAAAATTGTATTCTATTTTTATTCGTTGCACAGGGTTCTTGTAACAAGTTGCGTCCGCGAATCGTGCTTTTAGAAAAAACAATTCAAGTTCAATTATGCATGTGACAAAGAATTGCTATGTTTACACAGGAGCATGACCCAGTACCAAGATACTGTAGGAAGCTTTAACGGCACACTGTACCTAAATATACTCTTACCCTAAGGTCAGTATAGATATTCACAGTTGAACCGATTACATTTAATCAAGGGTAGAACGCATTCAACTATGAAGTATTCCGATGACGTCCATTAACTGCACATTCTTCTAGATAGCGATTACCACGAGTACGGGATCCTTGAACGTGACCGAACGCCACGAGCCACGTTTCCCTTCAAAGTTCCCTCGATTATCGGGTCAAACTGCACGCTGTACATTTTTCATAGATACTTCAAATTTTTATCCACTTTCCAGTTGAACTATCTGACGAATGCAGTGCGCCAACCTTGCAAGAAACGCGTTCAAAGTACACTGATGAAAGTTGTTACAAAAGAACTGAAAATGACTTTAATTTAACGGTAGAACTACTCGATTTCAAATTTCTTACTAAATTTTACTAAATTAGCAAATTGAATTAGTAATCGGTAAATTTTTTTACTAAATTACAGAAATTATTAAGACACTTTTGTTCAATGGTACAGTGTCCTTCGTTGAAATAAAGAAATAATTATAATTAACGTATACGACATTCTAATTCAATTCTGGTTGTCTCGAGAAACTAGATAAAATCTCGACAAGTCGAATAAATTCGTACTATCTACTTCATTGTTTCAATAGCGCGAAGATTTGACCGGCTTCCTATCTCTATTTGGCAAGAAATTTAAATGATGTCGGCATATTAACCAGCCACGGTATAATCTCAATTCACATTGCCGTCAATGCACTCCGTTCGTTACATGCTGAAGATGTTTCGCAAATTTCGAAAATACTCCGACTGCTCGTGTTAAAAGATTCTCGCCTCTAGCCGGTGAAATAACACACACGTACTTCGCATTCCTTCACTCTTAACTGTCTCCCACTTCATTTCCTTGCGTGTTTTGAATACACAGGCTGTCCCACTTTTTTCCGATCAAATTTTGCCAAAAAAATTGCAATTGACATATTGTTCTGATTTATTTCATTAAGTAACTCTCGAGTCTCGAATTATTAAATAGTATCAAATCTAGCACAATGATCCGTAGCTTTTGGGAAAGAAAATTGTCGCGTCTGACTATGTACAGATCTCTTCTACTTACTTGAAAGAATCAATACACGCGTGACTAATACTACTCCAATTTTTGACGCTGCTATATAAACTGTCATTTTACGATTGTGCTTTATAGTTCTGGCAAAGGTAAAAATGATCTTCCTGCAAGTGAGCCAAAGCTAGTCAAGGTCACCGAAATCTTACTCCATTGTGCGTTATGGGTTAACCATGAGTCAGAATTTGGCAAACGGAAGCTCTTTGGACTTATTCCAGCATCTCAAGCGTATTTCAATGCAAATATTTCTCTGCGTGTCGTCGTATGTTATTTTATGAAATGTATATTCACGTTTCCATGTAATACCTAATAACATTTATCGTTCCGAGGAATCAAAATTCCGCGAATACACGTATCATTCGAACTGTCTTCGCGTGATCTTTGCATCAGGGACACACGTATTTCAAATTTTCTTCTTACCGTGCAACATAGCGTTTCGACATTTGGCAATTTTTCCTTCGCTACATTTCAACAGACATTTCGTGCAAAAAAATTAAAACTACCATACTCTCTTAGTGCTTTCTTTGCACAATAAACATCGCCGATTTATCGTGTTCGTATTTTTTTTCCTACGTGTTTCACAAAAAATCTGAATTTGCTTTCCCCCTTTTTGAATTCATTTGTAAACAACGAACCGATATACATGCATTAAACGAAAGCTATTATCGAAGTCGATGAATTCACGAACAATGCCCAGCAAGAATAATTGCTGTGGTCGGTGGGCTCATGCATATACATACAGGGTGTCGTGAAACTAGTGTCGCAAACGGGTACGTGGTGAAATTTTGTCGTACGAGACTTTGCTTCCGAAAAGAATAGCTTAGAAATATTTTGCAATTCGAGAAGAAAATTTGCAATAATACAGGCAAAAGTAGACACACTCTGCTGTTCATAAGTACTAAGACACTTATATTGTGCGTTAGAAACTTATATGATTTAACCTTTAATTATTTATACATCCTGTATTTTCTCTGACTACTTTGGAAATTTTATTTATTAAATCACTTTGTTGAAAAAATAAATTCCTGAGGTTTCTTATAATATTTTATAAAAACAAGACATTTACACTGTTACATAAAAAATTAGCTTCCTTTTTAATGGAAATAGTGTACTACCTGCTGTTAATTTAGAACTTATCCACAATTCAACAAAATTCTCCATACACGTGCAATAGTGAAATAAAAATTCAGACTCGTTTCTGAGACGAGTGATCTGTAGTTAAAGCGTTAAATTACATTTCTTAGTCAGGTATAGTACCACATGTCAGTGGAAATGTATGTACTCGTTACATTACGGGATTCAAGGCTGAATAATTTTGTAACGACTGCTTAGATTTACTTCATACCATGTGTCCTAATACTTACGAACGGGAGTGTACAGTAAGGTGTTAAGTGACTTATAATGACCTACCTGGGAATTCGAATAAGACTGCGATTCGCTGCAGTCCAATACCCCGTCCTTGACCACATAATGTATCAAGTCCATGGCCCTTCTCATCTGGCAGAAAACGGTGTCTCTGTTTTCTCTGGCAGATGGACATTCTGGATGCCTCAAGCAGGTTTTACTAGACGTGAGCAGCATCATAGTACTCCTCTCCAAAACTTGGCGAGCCGCGGCCATTTGTGCCCTTCGTCTCTCGTCTTTCAAGTCATTCTGAAATTTCGAAACATTTCTTCCGTTCATACGTGTTGCTATTCCCTTCGTGCATACGTAACATTGTAAACATTGTTCTCTCCTTATACTTGACGGAGCATAGTGAACGTGAATGCGTATTATTATTTAATTCACTGCAAAAAGGAATTTTAAAAAGATGTATTTTTCAAGGGAAATGAGTAAAAGCACTGTTTAGTGAATCACCTGCCAATTTACGTCAATATTGAATCTGATCGTAGATTTGAAATTGATTTTGTGGAGATCAATAGCATTCTACCTAATTTCGATCGATTTGAACGATAAAAAATTCTGAAAATTGCTAAATTTTTCTGAAACTCGCAATGCACCGTGATTCCAAACATTCGGCCGGCAGTGTATGTAAATGAGCAAATATTATGTTTAACTTCTGTTTAATAGAGGTATTATATCATCCTTTGAATCCTTATGTACACACCATTCCTTTCAAACATTTTTCTTTTCAATTTAACGTGCATCAAGTATCGATTGTTTCTGTTTGCATTGTCCGAACGCCTCTGTTCGACACAACACCGTTGAATGGCGTGCGAAATAATGAAAGATATTCTGAGAATACTAATTAGAAATCTGTCAAGAGCATGATCTACAGTATATGAGCCAAATAAAGATTAATGTTGGTGCTTAAATCAATTCGTTTCTGCTTGACTGTTCGATCGAGCGTGACTAGTTCGTTAACAGTACACGTCCTGAAATTGACGAGCTTCACGGTATTTACCGGAAACGAGAAAACAAGAGCTTTCGTCAAATTTATCGAACGGGATGATGTTAAAGGATCGATAGAAACACACGACCGAGTTTCACTGTTACGTACGCCGGGTGACGATAATGTCACGATCACTACCATAAAAGCATTTCCTCATCATCGAGGGGTTCATTATCGAAAGATCACTATAGTCACTCAGCTTAACCCCATTATTAAAATCCAGTGTATTCTACTAATCTGAAAATACAGCTTAGATAATTACAAAAGCAATTTAAACCAATAAAGAAGCGAAAGCTATTATTTCCATCTGACTATAAATAACCCCGTTGAAAAACATTATAGAGGGTGTTTCTCTTAAACTGTGGAATAACTTACAAGGAACTGAAGCTATTAAAAAAAAGGTTTTAACCAAAGTTGTTCGGTATAAACCGGGAAATTATGTGCCATAAATAATTTTTCTAGAGCTAGAGTAGCGAGGGAGATTTCAGGGCAAAATTAAGTTTGTTTAAATGGAACCCTATATTTTGTTTTATTCATAACACGACAAAGTTTGTTCAGACGAGATCAACGACCTATCTTAACTCACAAGTGGTGAAATAGTTGTTGGCAGTGTGTGAAAGGACAACAAAAATACGAAGACTTAATTACTTACTTGGCGATCACCCGTCAAGTGTGCCAATTCCACCATTTCCGCTCCAAATTGGCTGAACGCCTTCACGAATTCGGTGAAATTCGAGACACTTTCCAGACGGCCAAGGCTACGAGCCACCTTCTTCTTCGCGAGAAGAAGTTGCTTGACCACGACAATGTCAGCCAGGAGGAGGACCTTGGTTACAGAACCAAGAAGGCATCTTGCAGCCCTGACGACAGAGCCTCGGTCAGCTAAGCTGTTTTCCGTGGCGCACTCGCATAATTTTTCGATCGCCGACCCTGGAACCAGATAAATTTTCAAATGAAATTACATGTACACGAATTATTTGTGAAATTATGCAAAGGACTGTTTGCAAAGTTCTGAGGATAACCCCAGTTCCTCGTAGATTATAATAGCTCGTATATTACCTACCAAAGGAAATTAAAATTAACGCAGAATATTATTTCGGCCATCTATCTCAGCCTTTACGGCAAGTGTTTATTCAAAACCCAACCGGAAAGTTGCACGCCCGACCATTAGTGCAACAAGACAATGCGAAGCCGCACGTTTCAATGATTCTGCGCTGGGAGTTACTTTGGATATTGGTATTCACGGTTTTCTTTAAAAAATTCATTTTATACTGGGACAGGTGCGCACGTGTAACTAATGACTATATTAAAACGTCGCAATGTCGTGTATTAGGTGTGGAAATGAATTCTTTTCGACTGGATTCACATGATTGATTCGAAGCCGCAGTGTTTCTGTCGCGACCGTATTCACGAGCTGCCAGAAACATGACAATTTAATTTCATTCTTTCCAAAGAAAATTTTGATTGTATCCAAAATTGGAAAGAATTCATTTCTGCGCCTAATAAACAGGTGAAAATGGAGAAAACAGAAATTTAAATTGTTATAGGCGTTATTTACGACTTCTCAAGAATTATAAAATTCTTACTGACGACTTCGGTTTCCTCTCTCTCTCTCTTTTCTATCTCTATCCTCATTCCATAACGAACAGCCACAGCACGATAATAATAACGTGAAAAATATTAGATTTATTTGAAACGAATTTCCCCGAAACTACTGTACAATTATTTTCCTTATATCATACGATGACATAACCATCGCATGTAACCTGCACGATAAGTGCTGATTACGTTCCAAGTGCACGTATTGCGTGGCAACGGTTTCAGCTGGATCACGCTCTAGCGAAAGGGTTGAAAAATATTTCAAAGAAGAGAAAAAGATCGAATTCTACTGGGGCCAGGCGTGATGGAGCAGCGTCGACGAAATAATCGCGCGGCAGTGATGAGATGCCTATTTAGTAAAGCTTTTATATGGCGTAAGTATGTGCTCATCGGAGACAGAGAGATTTCGAAAATTAGAGCGACGTGAGCATATGTAATTAGGCACTTGGCCTATTTCCGAGCATAATTTTTTAAATAATTTAATTATCGCATAATTAAATTTTCCAGGTTTCTTTTTAACCATACTCTGTGTATAATTACGAGTCAAATATTAATTTTTCGTTGCATCGTGCTTAGTGTACATAAATGGATAGTGCGAATATTGAAATTTTTCACAAATTTTAAAAAAGAGTAGAATAGTAAGTTTTTCAAATAATTGACGAAAGGAGATGTGCATAATCGTAAATGTGGAAACCGAAATTCGACGTTTACGACGTATTTTTAACGCGTCAAACACGAACTTATCGTGTTATATGCAAATCAGTCTCTTGCAGACGCACACATCGCTATTTCAGTCCTTTGGCTTTTGCTGCTATGCAGCTCGTCTCCAATATCATCTCGCCCCGGCAATAGAATTTCCTTTCATCCCACGCAATGAATATTTATTATCTTATGAACTGCGTTTGCGGAAAAATATTGATTGCATTTTCTTTGCTCGTTTTTTTTTTTGTCAAAAGACGAGCCGAACGTCGCGTTTCTAATTGAAAAAACCACACCTCAGATCTTAAAGAAAAATCCAAGTATTAAGTATCCTAATAAAAAATAAAATTTTACAATAATTTTCATAAATTTGATAACAAACACTAATTTTTGCGGCTACTTTTGAAGAAAGTTTGTTTACATTTTCCCTAGAAGTGTTAATGTCGTAATAACAGTCGGTAAATACGAAATTTTTTCGAAAACAGTAAAACGGTGTATAAAGTGTACTTATTTGGAATTGTTAGAAATTTGATAAAGCTCGGTATTGCTTACTAAATGTTGCACGGCAAAGTTTTACACGGTAAATTGCATTTGCAGCAACGCGCTCGTCCATGTCGGAGCTTCGGGTTGTAGAAGCTAATTTAACTTCTACATTTTAGTGTTCCATAATATTTCGAGAATATGTAAAGTGGATGCAGGTGTTTCGCTATAACGGCATGTCCGATCCGTGTCCACAAACAGTTTCCAAGTGACTATAGTCGACTAAAACGTCTAATGTTCTTTCTCAAGCTTTCTTCGTCGACTTATCTGTACAACAGTTTTTCCATCAAGTTTCCAAGGGAAGAATTTCTCCGCGAAACTACGGCAAATAATTTTCCTGTTTCTTTTTAACATCGCCGTTTTGTCAGTTTTCTTCGACAACGTAAGAACCGTGGAATTTCTGAATCGAGAAGAAAATCGACATTCGACAGAAACTGCTTTATTACCATGTGTATCAAGAATTCGAACGAAATTATCAATAAATTTCTCGTGAAGTAGAAAATATCTGCCAAAATCTTCTAAGTAAAGAAATCTCGCGATCACAGCGAACGAGAATAACTATATTTCTCCGTAGCCACGCGGATTCGTTTCACCTGTGTATACAATTTCTGCGTGCAAACCTCGTTTTCACGAATAACGCAAAACGATCAATCTGAAAATGTCATTCCTGAAAAATTTACTAACGCTTTTAATTATCAGACGCGTTCGTATCATGCTTAACAATTTCCTCCAACCTCTGCACAGAGTGTTATGTTCTTCAGCGGCGAGAAACGAAATATCTTGATTCAAGCTGAAACCGTAACGTTCCTTTTCCTCGCCGTGTAATTTCCATCCAAGGATTACCATGCTTTCTAATTAACGTCGTAAAAAATTTAACTGTAACTTTACCATCGTTTGCCTTTAATATTAACACTCGCCAAGACTACTTTGTACACCCTTAACTTTTCCTCGTGGATTTTGTTACTTTTTAAATAGCAATTATGCCTTCTATTTTTACTTTAATCTCACTTGCTTATTACGTACTGTGCCTTTTCCTTAATTCCTGCTAATTTAATTTGAAAATTTTTACTACGAATTTCTTTTGTTTTTGTCTGTTTTTAAATAATACGCAACCGGTTTTTGCTGACTGTGTTCGTTTTACGGTTAAACTGCATGTGCTCAGGTTTGTTACACGTGTGCTCAAGTTTGGCGATAAATAAAACCCAAAGCCATGTGTATACGACACGAGAACGCCATAAATCGTCTGATTTTGATCTGGGGTATAACCCCAATACAGGGAACATACCACGAATCCTCCGATCCACTTTATAACTTTCCATATAAATTTTTTCTTATTTTTATACCTCGCCTACGAACATTTTTACTCGTTCCAGTATTTTCCGTTTACAAGATAAAAACGAACAGATTTATTCCACAGATTTCATAGCTACAGTTAAGCGAATGTTGTTAAAAGTTCGTGCAAACTTTCTTATCAAATTAGTACCGATTTCGTTCTAAACGAAACTTCATTCGAAGACCCGACAGATTCTATTCCCATTAGAATCCAGAAATACTATTTTCATACACGTGAATTTTTCTAAATCACCTCGTTCGATTTCATTAGTTACAAACGTGAAGTTCTTTCTTGCAGAGAAAAAACAAATTCTGTATTCTACACGTGATTAAATTTTTAAATAAAGTTCAGTTGTTATTCGATTGAAGGGTCGTTGTGAGAACTATGTCAACCTGATACTCGAGTTTCTCTTTCAAGTTTTTCCTTTTTTTTTTTTTTTGTAAATGATGTGCATCACAGATGTGTACGATGTGTATAAGCATTTTGCTGCCAGCTTTTCGATTACTATAAAGCCTCGTAGAGACGTCGAGTTTTAGAATTTGATACATCAGCTGTCCGTGCGTTTTCACGCTTAGTCAGTGCTGAGAAATAAAGTTCCAAGATGTCTTTTAGTAAAACAAATAGGAAGCTATCTGCCGTGACGTATGAAACTTTTACGGTGTATAACATTTTATGTAGAATTCATCTTGCGTCGCGTTTTATTTTATCCCGTTTATCAACTTCGATACTAGACTTTCCATGCTTTGTCATTCGTTTTAATATACTTCAATCTTTTCACAAATTTAATAAATCACTAAAATATGAAGCTGTAATAATTAAATGGACTGAGTGGTTTTTATATATTTTAATTCTTTGATTTTCCTTTGTGCATTTTCTTTTTTACACTCATTTCTTGTAAATATACGATACTGGATCAGTTCGACCCAAATCTATTATACTTATTCCTGTAACTTTACAAAAGTCCGTACAAGGGCTAATAATATTTTTCATATCGGAAAACTGTCGGGAAATTCTTCAGGAAAGCTTGCGAAACATGATACCAAAAATTGATCCACAGTTTTGTTAACAAAGAGATTTTTATCTCAGCTCTTATACGATTATTGATCAATGGCCGCATAAAAAGATCCTTCGGATTAATAATGTCGAGAGTGTTCAACGAAGCGTTAGCACATAGCATTTTTGTATTCTACGATTTTACCGAAAATCAAAGACAAGAAGCAAATGAAGTAGAAGAAAAGATACGGTCTTGAATTCTGTTGTCAGCGATTATGTTATAAATCGACCGCGTTGTGCGATAATCCCCCAAAAAATACGGAAAATCCGTATTTCACGCGAAACTACTTTGCGGTACATTTATCTTTATTTCTTCGCCGTTTTTAGCTTAACATTAGCTAACTTCGTCAAAATAGAGTTTACGGAATTTATAATGGAAAATTGAAAAATAAAAATTCCAAATGAGTGTCGATAATGAAAAATACCAAATCTCCAAATTATGTATTCGACGAATTGGTACTTACACGCGGTGATTAATAACGAATAAAAGTTAAGAAAAAATGACTGACAGCAACGAATGGAATTTACAAGAATTTAGGGAATTTATAAAATAATTTAGTATTCCAAAATTGTCATTCCCTTTCTAAAGAAAATATGGCTGGGTTTGATTCGACAAGGTGATCAAGACTTTGCAGAAAAGGCGCCAAATTAATTGGTACACCTGATACATTGTGACATTCTTTCGTTATGTATTCTCTCGATTCAC